TAGTGCAGAAAAATAACATACTTCGACAAATACACTGATAAAAAAATGGTACAGTAAAATAAAATATCCAAATATTGAATAAAAAACCTTAATTTTAATATTTAAATTGAATCGCATGATTTAATCGCATGAATAATAGAAAAATAAAATAGTTCCTTTTAGATTTAAATTAATTTATTTTAAGTTAAGTATGTTTTAAGTTTAAAATTAGTTTTTAGCTACTAATTAAATACCAATCATTATGAATCCAAATGAAGAATAACAAAAAAAGTTAAAATTTTCATATTAAACAAGAAAGAAAGCAAACTTCGGCAAGCCGAAGTTCATATACCCTTGCAGCTATCGCAAGAATTAAATATTTTTGAAAACATTAAAATTATGATTTACTTGCGTATATGTTTAAAAACATTGAAGCTATGAAGATTTGCAGCTTAATTATTTGATTGTTCTTTTATATATTTTCATTATTTGTATAGGAGCTATATGATATAGTCGTCCGATTTTGATGAAATTTAAACCATAATTCTGAAATATTTAACCATTGCTATATGTCGAAGAACTAAAAAACAAATTAAAAAACAGCAAAGTTATAATTTTTTTCAATTATTTTTCCGATTGTTCCTATGGGAGCTATATGCTATAGTCGTCCGATTTTGATGAAATTTTAATCATAATTCTGAAATATTTAACCATTGCTATATGTCGAAGAACTAAACAAAAAATTAAAAAGCAGCAAAGTTATAATTTTTTTTCAATTATTTTTCCGATTGTTCCTATGGGAGCTTATTGCTATAGTCGTCCGATTTTGATGAAATTTTAACCATAACTCTGAAATATTTAACCATTGCTTTATGTCGAAGAACAAAACAAAAAATTAAAAAACAGCAAAGTTATAATTTTTTTTCAATTATTTTTCCGATTGTTCCTATGGGAGCTATATGCTATAGTCGACCGATTTTAATGAAATTTAAACCGTAAATCGGAAATATTTAACCATTATTATATGTCGAAGAACTAAACAAAAAATTAAAAAACAGCAAAGTTATAATTTTTTTCATTTATTTTTCCGATTGTTCCTATGGGAGCTATATGCTATAGTCGTCCGATCCGGCTCGTTCCGACTTATATACTACCTGCAATAGAATGACAACTTTTGGAAAAGTTTCATGCAGATAGCTTTAAAACTGAGAGACTAGTTTGCATATAAACGGACGGACAGACGGACAGACGGACAGACGGACGGACAGACGGACGGACAGACGGACATGGCTAGATCGACTCTACTAGTGATGCTGATCAAGAATATATATACTTTATAGGGTCGGAAACGTCTCCTTCACTGCGTTGCAAACTTCTGACTGAAATTATAATACCCTCTGCAAGGGTATAAAAAAAAACTAAAAACCGCAATGCGAAAATTACTAAATACTTGGATTTATCACTGTCGACTGATCATTTAAGAATCGATTATAAATCGCTTACCAGTAAATCTTTAATAAGCAGCCCAAAAATTCGCGATGAAAAATTCAGTCGGAAATGAGTTATTTTTCTCGAGAAAATAATAAAGGCATCATCAGTCGATTTCAGCAGTTCGTTGTCCGCCGACAAGGTGCCGACGTAGTGGGCGGGGTAATTAAAATGGCAAAAATAAATACCTATTAAGAACGCTTACACTGATTGACACTTTAAGGCAATTTCCGGCCATAATTCCTTGCCGCAAAATGGTGCCCCAAGAAGGTGTTTGTGCTTACCCCACGATGGCGGCGCAACCAAATGTCGAGCTATCGATTTGTGGCGGGATCGAGGGAGTGTATTTAGGCCAGGCCCGACACGCTTTGCATTAATTTGAAAATTTTGGCTGTGACCGCTTTAAGTTGGCCTGCCCCTCCCCCAAAGGCACTTTAAACAAGGGTTAGATGGCGGTGAAAGGGGGTGCTAAGTAGCCTAAATGTTGAACATCTCTTCACGTTTTCCTTTTCATTTGGTTTGCCCAAGAATTTTACATAGATTGTGTAAAATTGTAGTAAATTGTTTGTATTATTTATTATTCTGTCAGCATTCCTTACACTTTCAAGCCAAAATGAACATGCAACTTTAAGCAATGGTTAACATGGCGTATGAGTAATTTCTGAAATATTTGCTCTTGCTTACTATTCATCGCTTCATTTACAAAAGAGGTCAGCCATGTTTTACCTAGATTTGCAAACAAATTAAATGAACATTTAATTTGTAGCTACTGGCCTGACAGACAGACAGACAGACAGACAGACAGTCATGGGGCATCAATCCCGCCTCCCGGGTGACAGCTTTTTGCCGCTGACTGTGCTGAGCTGACTGTTGCGGTTGACGAAGCTGCCACATGCGTCTGGTATTCTATGCTATTTGTGTCTAGTCAGGACATTTGCCGTGGCATCCTTTCATTTGTGCCCCGTCATGCTGCACGGTTGTGTCATTGAGGCACGACTCACTTTCGTTGGTATGTGGCTAAAACAACCTAGATAAATTGTTCTTATTTGCATTGAAAGCTGCGCCAGAAACTACGAAATTTTTAAGACAAACATGCTTTTAATTGAAAAAGTTATAATTTTCCTTTAAGGCATATTCATTTTTCACTCAAAAAGGGTTTCATAGAAAACTTATGATTGCTTAAATTAGTTGCGCTTTTTTTGATAAATAGTTATTTCCGATGTTAGTATTAAAACAAAATTGTGATAAAAACTTTTGTTAAAGGTATTTAAGCCTATTGGTAATACAAATTTTTTACTAAGATGATTATTAAATTATTACCTTAAAAGTATCAAAATAAAGTTTGTGTGTTTAGGACTTTTCGATATAGAAATGAAACTAAAAATTATAAGGGTTATATTATTTAGGATTGGTTAAGTACTTGTACTTTGTGCCGAAATGGTTAAATCAATCGCGTTAATTAAATTCTTTGTTTGATAAATGCTATTCCACCTAATGGTTACTCTCCATGTTAATAGGTCAACCAAATAAAAGTTGTCATAGGAACTAAACTATTAATACATCAATTTTAAACTATTGGGTTTAAAAAAATATTTTTTAATAAAACCTCGAAAGTATAAAAATTAAACTTATGTGTCTTAAAAATAGGTCCTTAGACAAAAGTTTTAGACTCTTCAATATAGAAATGAAACTAAAAAGTATAGGGTATTTATTTTTCTATTAACTTGGTAAAAACTTGTTTCCTAAATTTGAAATGCAATGCTTTTACTTCTCCGGTCAAAAATATATCATTTTCTGTTATGCGTATACGTAGAATACAATCATTCCTGGTCAAGATAGACCTTATATTAAATTAGTTTTATTAAAGTTGTTTCTTATTTTCTAACGTTATATTTTATAAGTAATATAATATTATATCGGTTCCGAATATCGGTCACACTACTTTGGAGAGCGTACCAAAGAGCGCGATCAACGGCTGAGGCGTTACTTAATTCTCAATCGGTCGCAGCTCTCTCTCTATATGCGATAAGAAAAGTTAAAAACAAAAACAGCTGTAACACCCGATCGACAGTAAATACTATTAGCAGGTAAAAATCGACATTTTGATTAGATTGAGCTGAGAAACTAGAGCAAACTAAGGCAGGCTGCAGCAAACCTATTCAAATTTTCAAATAACAATACTTAATCTAATTATTGCTAGATTGTAAGGAAAATAGGTCAGCTTGTAATTTGGATTTGATTGAGTTCAAAGAGAGTAATTGGTACCCATAAAATCTAATAAAATCTAGCAGCTAATAAACCTTTAAGTGTGTAGGATATAATATAAGAACAAATATAAGTTGGCAGAGATGAGCCAAGTGAAATCCGTACTTTGCGTGGGCTGCACGGTGATCGACTTTGTGACCATCTGTGGCAGTTATCCCAAGGAGGACACCGATCGACGATGTCTGGATGGCTTCTGGCAACGTGGCGGGAATGCCTCCAATGTGAGCACTGTTCTCCGGGTGCTTGGCTCCAGGGTGGACTTCTTCGGAATGCTCAGCAGATCGGATGCGTTTCGTGTGCTGCTCGAGGATCTGCGAAGACGGGAAATCGGCATTAAGAATTGCCCTCAGACGGACAGGGATCCGCCCTTCTCGTCGGTCATTTTGGCGCAGGATGCCGGCACCCGCACTATTATCCACTGCAACAAGGACTATCCGCAGACCACCTGGGAGGACTTCAGCAAGATCGATCTCTCTCCGTATGCATGGGTGCACTTCGAGGCGCGCAACACGCCGCACACCTTGAAAATGATGCAGAGCATCCGGGATCACAGCGAAAGAACCGGACAACGCATCCTCATCTCGTTGGACTTGGAAACGCGGTACGAACAGAACCGGGAACTGTGTGCACCTTGCGACTATGTGGTCTTCTCCAAGGAGCTGGCCGCCCAGTTGGGTTGGCAGACGCCGCGGCAAACGTGTGAGGAATTGGCGGCCCGCCTAACCGGAAGCGGTCCCAAGCCGACCTTCATATGCCCTTGGGGCAGTGCCGGCGCCGGAGCACTGGATGCCAATGGGAACTACCACGAGTTGGCTTCCTACAAGCAGCAGAAAGTGGTGGACACGCTGGGTGCCGGAGACAGCTTTATGGCCGGATTCATTCACGCCACTCTCGAGGGTCAAAGAAGTCTATCGGATGCTGTGGACTTTGCCAACCGAGTGGCCAGCCACAAGATCACCGGATTCGGCTACGATCACATTGCACAACTTAGCTTAAGCTAAAACTAAACTTAATTCTATCTGAGATTATTTGCTTAACACTCTTTGGAAGAATTTATTAACTTAAAAACACCAGTGACGTAAAAAATATGTTTGTTTTAGCATTTGTAAGCGCATTACTCAACAAATATTATTAATTTTTAGCAGAGTCTAATATATATTTTTGTTACTTAACATAAGGAAATTGTGTTACAAATTGTTTAATAAACATTAAGAACATTTTTAGAAAGTTGCTTGTAACGTCGGCAAAGTAGTGAAAAAGGCAGTCAGTTTGGAAATGAACAGCGCTTATGTATTCTCACAAATTTTATAAACTTGTCAAATTCATTATGGTTATTATATTATAATTATGTTCGTGATTATTGGTAAGGCAGAGACTTGTGTTCTTGGTCTGCTGGTGCTCGACATTATCAAATCTTCCGCTCTGCCAGTAAGTTAGGTAATATCCAAATCGGAAATCAAGAGGAGTCATGGCAGGATGAGTCTGCAGGTCCCCTGCTCTTTCGTGGTTGTTCAGTTCGGAGCCTCTCATTGTTGTCTACGTAAATTTGATGAAGTCACCCCGTTGGTCCTCCATATCCGAGCCAATGGCCGAGGCATTAATCCCAATGCCGCTCGATGCACTTCCGGATTTTTGTTGACTGTTCAGTCCCTCAAGAAGCTGTTTAGTGATATGTTTAATAGGATATTCTATGTTTATTATAAAAAAACTGTGTACCCACCTTCGATCTCAGGCGCTTGAGTTTGCGCAATCGTTCTAGCCAATTCGAAGCATAAGGATGCTTTTTCTGCACACTTTGGTAGACTAGCGAGGCGAGCTGCAAGGTATGGCTCTTATTAGTTTGGTTACATATTTCCAACTCTAAACTCTACTCACATTGGCATGCAGGGCCATCTGACGAGCCAGCAGAGGAGCACTGCGATCCGAGACTATTCGGTGCTCCGCATGGCACACGAACTTCGATATCTCCGATCGGGCCTTCACATACACCCTGTTCGAGTTGAGTTCGAGTGGCTCCACGATCACGCAGGCATAGTTGAATTGGCCCTGAAATTTAATAAATTGAATTAAATGTTTTTTTAAATGGTAAACACTTGTATACATGCAATAAATTGTATGAAAACTATATACTATAAAGTAGATAAGAATAGATCTTGAATTTAAAATAAATAATATATTAATCTGATAAAAGAACTTTGAAATGTTTTAGTTCCTTAAACGTTTAATTGCCATTAGTCATTATGACTACATGTAATGGAAATAATTGTATTGTAATTGTAGCAGACTGATGATGGCTACTTACGGATATTGTGTTCAGATTGTATTCCTCGCCGCTCTCGTTGTAGATGATCTTCACAAAGTCGTTGCCAATGTGGCTCTTCTTCTCGTTGCAGTTGGGATCATCCTGCAGATTGGTGGGCATCAGCGTGGCCACATGGAAAGTAACCTACCAAAGGCCATCGGGGTTAGCAAGAATCAAACCAAACTCAAGAGGAGTTACAGCTCACCTGCAGTATGTCGTCCTTCCAGATATAGGCGAACTTGCCATCGGCCCCGTTCCTGTCCAGCATGATGAACAGGTTGTTCTGCTCCGCTTCCTTCAGGCTGACCAGTGTTCCGATGTTGCGGAGGAACTCCACGTACCTCGGACTGCCGTGCGAATTGCGCAAGATCTCCACCTCGTTGTTGCACTGCCCCTGGCCCACATACAGCACGCCGATCTTGTGCGTCTCGAACGGCGGCACCAGGTCGATCAGGGTGACGGCACTGTTGTTCTCCGGCCCCACCTTCAGTGGCTCATCGGTCACGCCCAGCTGGCCGGTGCTGTAGAGCTGCAGGAACATGAAGCTGGGATTCATGCACAGCTTGGTGTTTATGGGCGGCTTGGCGGGCCCAAAGTTCCGGAAACTGCTGGCCGGCGGCGGACGTGCATTGCCGTTGTTCACCTCCCGCACCACCGAAATGGTTTTCGAGCGTCCTCGCATCATGTCGCCGTTGCCATTGTTCCCGTTGTCGTAGTCCGAGGTGATCACGCCCACATTGGCACCATTACTCCCGCTGCTGCTGGACTTGGCCAGTGCACCGGGCTGCGGGACAGAGGTGCCGCCAAAGCTGGTCATCCTGCCCGTTGCCAGCAGGGGCGGCTGCCCCGGCGAGAGCGGCGGTTTGCCCAGCTTGAGGGTGGATCCGGCTGCCTGCAGGGTGCCGCCGGCAGCCACATGGCTGCTTACATCGTCCGCCGAGTGCTGTTTGGGCGGCAGGGTGCCAGCTTCCGGATGCAGGGCCAAAACAGCAGGCTGTGAGGGCGGCGTGGAGCCGGCTATCTCCTCCGGAATGGCCTCGCAGCTCACGCGCATATCCTTGGTGCTGTACTGCACACTCTTCTTCTTCAGCGTTAGCATGGACTGCGGCTCCTCGGCGGTGGCTTTCACCGGCTCCTGGGACAGCGGCATCGGTTTGTTGGTGAGGAACGACTGCCGCCAGCTGGAGCTCATCTCCGGGCTAGAGTTCACCCGGCGCACCGGGTTCCGGGCCCGACTCTGGGCATCCTCGAAGGCCAACGAGTCGTCATCTGCCTCGCCATCACTCACACTCCCGCAGAGAGCCGCCTCCTTGCCCCGCTTTCCGGTTGAAACGCGTGGAATGGGTATGGCAGCTGCTGCTCCACTGCTGGATGCATTTCCATTGCCATTTCCGCTGCCATTGCCATTGCCATTGCCATTCCCGTTTCCATTCCCATTGCCTCCGCCAACCGAGTGAATCTCCTCCTGACGCTGGAGAGCTCGAGCCTTGGCCACCATCCGGCTGCGCAGAGCACTGGCCTGTGGCGCGGCAGCTGGATTGGCACTGACCTCCGGCTCGGGTTCTGGATCGACGAGAGGATGTGGCGGCACCTGGATGGCATTGTCCGGGCCAAACACTCCGCCATGGGCAGTGGGCAGAAAGAGGGAGACCACATTGTTGAACGGCAGATCCTGGCCAAAGCAATCGTTGGTGATGGGGTTCTGAATCCGGGTTATCCACGAGATGTTGCCCGTGGGCCGGCGGATGAGGATCTCCGCCCAGCCAGTGCAGGCGCGCACGCAAACCGGCTGCTGCACCACGGATCCCGACGACGGACTCATGCTCACGGACGACTGCGACAAGGAGTTGCCCAGCAGCGAGGTGTTGCTGCCGGTGTGCGGACCCTCGCCCAGGCCACTGCCCAATGCCTCGGGATTGGAGCCACGGCGCGACAATGCGTCCAGCGAGGCAGTCGAACTGTTGGAGATCTGCCGATGCGGATGGCCACCCGTGGCCGCCGAGTTCGAGGAGGAGGAGGAGGTCAGCTCCGTGCTGCCCGCCGAATCGTTGCCACTGCTGTGCTGCAGGCTCACCTTCGTGTAGCGTCTCTCCCGCTCCGGCGAGAGTGGAGCAGCCGCATCGCTGAGGCTCTTCGAGTTCAGGCTAATGCTGGGCGTCTTGCCCAGCTGGGCACATCGCTCGCAGAGGCCGCTGCGCGTGGGCGCCGACGGGCAGCCGGAGGTGGTGATCGTCACCAGGTTGTGGCCCACCAGCCAGGTCTGCGAGACGCCATCCTTTAGCAGAAACTCCGCGGCCGGAAGACTGCAAAGCGAGAGACATTAGCACAAAGTTAAAGTTAGATTTGAACAATATGGAAAGCTAAATTCGAATCTCCCGACTATTAGATACCCTCTACTCAGCTAACCAATTTTAAAGTTAATTAGACACCAGAAAATAATCTAATTTTAGGTGCCGCCATCTACCAAATATTTTTAATAATGCCAATAACTTCTGAAACAATAGTTCGATTTGGAAGACGTTAGTATGTGTCAATAATTATTGACCAAATAAACATATTAAGTTTAATAACTGGGATCTACCATTTCTCAGAGAGGCACCACAGACGTTTGTGATTTGTGGGCCACTTTAAAAAGAAACTTGCGCTGCTTAGTTATAATTGGAAACTGCATATTAAATCCCAAATCTCTAGCTTTTCTAGTTTCCGAGAACTCGACATTCATACGGACAAACAAACGGACAGACAGACGGACATGGCTGGGTTAACCTGTTACATACATTTCAACCATTATCAAATAAAGACTGTTTCTCTACGAGCAACGGGGATAAAAATATAATGAAAAAGTTTCGTAAAGATTTAAATTCCAGCCAGAGATCACCCACCGTTTGGGCATCGACGGACAGGGCGAGTAGGTGTGGCGGGCCAGGAAGTCAAAGCAGGTCTCTGCCAACTCGGCGTGGAAGGTCCGCAGGCCGTTGTTCATCTGCGGCCGCATCTCTAGGTCGTTCCAGGCATTGGCATTGTTGCGACTGCCGCGCTCCGTGAGACTGGTGCTCCGTTTCCGGTTGGACGAGTCCTCGTTCAGGGAGTTCAGGTTGACAATGTCGCTGGACAGCATCTTGGCATTCGACTGAATCGACTAGAATTGTACAGATTCAGTTAGTCCATGTCCAGTAATAAATAGGTTTCGCATACTTACGCTCTTTATATAGGACACACAGTTCTTGCGCAGCTCCAGCTTGCACTTGAGGAACCACCCGGCGATGACGTGGTGGGCCAGGGAAACTGTGTAGTGATCGTAGCGATGCGGTTTTGTATACGGAAGCGTGATGGCAAACACGTACATGTTGTGCATCAAAGTGAAGTTTGCAAACAGATGCTTGGACAAATGGATAAGCACTAACAGAAACAGAGAAACAATATTAATTTGTTATTAAAAAAGGGGGTTTAAATTTGAAAGATTAAATTGGGCATTGGGCATAATTGGGCATTTCTTTTTAAGAAGTCCAAAGTATTATGTGAAGTAAATAGCAGACTTAGCACACTTACGACTAACATTTTTTGACTATGCATTAAAATATAATTTAATTAACTTCATTTAGTGCCGTGCAAGATTGGTTTCATAGTTTCCTCGCTCAACGAAATAACTCTTTTTAAAAAGACTAACAAAAACTCAAAAAAGAAAGAGTTAGCTTATTGTTCTAAAGAATTCGCGGTTTTTGCTTTGACTTTTGATCCAATCGGATATTTCTTTCTATTACTTCTGTGAGAATCGTTCTTTGCGTTTCGGTGTTTGTTTATCCATGAGCCATTGGAGTCATGAGTCATAGAAGACATAGGAATCACGAGCTAATCCGTTATAGATCATATCAAGTAAATCTTGTTTGTTGTCCATGACCTGACCAATTTGAATGAAAAATATTTCCAACATAATTTATTGGAATCCTTTTTCTTTGATGTGAGTCAAAAGGCCCTTTGACTGCTCTAACGCAGTGTTTTGAGCTCTACTTATATATTATATATATTATATTATATACTACTTCCTCTTAGATATACTCACACGAAAGAAATTCCAGAACCGGAGTGGCCAGCGCATTGGTGTCCGACATCTTGCTCATCTGCAACAGGACGTCCGGCAGCTTGCGCATGAGGGCCTCCGGCATCTCCAGAATCAGAATGGTCATGGTGTTGATGCAGACGCTGGCAATGCCAGTGAGCACCCGCGAGTTGAGGGCCGTGATGATGCCGTAGTGCTGCTGCGGCTGCAGGCTTTCGTGGTAGATGACCAGCGAGGCGACGGCCGGAAGGACGAGGGCGTGGAACTCGTCAGAGGGACGCTTGAACTTGTTGTTGCTGACCAAGTTGATCTTGAGCAGCGAGTTGGCCAGCTCCTCGATGTCGTTGCCCTGGACGAGCGCCTTGTTCTGCAGCACCTTGGGCAGCTCCCTGATGACCAGCTGAAACACCTGGTAGTCGGTGTCGTGCTCCAGGCACCGCACTATCAGCTTGCACATTCGCCGAATCGAGATGGCAGTGGTGTGTGGCTGCGCCAGCAGCGGTGAATCAATGCCCAAATAGTGGCTGAACTTGACCACCTCGTTGCTGCCCTCGGCTATCGGATAGCCGATATGGAACGAGCCATTGGCTCTCGCCTTCAGCAACCAGGCAAATATCTAGAGGGGCGAATAATGAGGCATTAATTTATGGTAAGACAAGTTGGGGTTTGAATTGGAACTATAAATGTTTGTAATATTAATCATAAACTCGACAGGAACACAAAAATCAAGCTTTAGAAAAACACTACGAACCAATTGTAGTTTTTCATGGTAATTAGTTGCTCTTCAGTCAAATTTCCATACAGACTTATGCTCTATCAGCCAAGGTTCGGCTTAGAATGCGGAATTTGGATATACTATATGGCGACATTTTAGTTATGTAGCACATAAATAGTAAATGGAATTACCTATTGTACTGCACCACCGAATTTGTAAAAAAGAGTCCCCGGTTTGAAATTTCAGATTTTACCCAATTTCTCCAATTTCTAAAATATATATCTTCAATGGAAACAATTTTAATATCTTTTGGAATCAACAGTTTACACGGGGACAACACTTTTTAATTTCGGTTTAATAAGTATTCATAAGAATATTAAGTTGGATTTCTTATAGCACTAAAATAACTACTTTTGAATATTAAATACTATGTACTATTTTTTTCCAATTTTAAAAAAGTTATGACACCGTTTTTTTATTGCCTATTTTCAATGCAAAAATCGGCAATTATTACATGTTCGTTTTTAAAACGGATATCAAAAATCTAAAGCCTACATCTTAACATAATTTCATGAAAATAAAATACAGGTCAAAACATAAATTTTAGAATATTGCTATGATTGAGCGCCCAATTACCATGGAAAAGTACAATTGTTTTTTTTTAATTTTTTTTAGCTGTGTACCTTTTTTTATTTAAGTAAACAATAGTACTCACTTTGTGGCGCACAACGCTGGTGTGCTCGAAAATCTTGGGTCGGTCGTAGTGCAGTTCCAGGTGATCCATCAGAATGTTGAATATTTTGAGGGCATGCACCGCTGGCAGGCGGTGCAATTTGATGGCGAACACCTTGACCAAACCATCGACGGCGGCAATGATGTCCGCGATCTCCGACTCATTGCTGACCAGGCCCACTGCCACGTCGGGAAGGGAGGCGTCGCCAGACGATCCATGGCGGGTGTGCTCGAAGGGACGATTGATGAGCGCCTCCAGGATGTCCAGGATGTCCATGCAGCGCTTCGTGTCGCAGTGGGTGGCAAAGTTGGACAGGGCACGGGCCACTGCCACGCGCACCTGGACACTTGGCTCCTGGTGGATCTGCGACAGGTGCACCAGCACGACGCGGCTTAGGATCTCCTCCTCGTAGCAGGCGCGATTCTGATCCATGATTCGCACCAGGGCCTCGATTGTCTTGATGCGCACGCTCACATTGGACATGCGGTAGTACCGGCGGACGAACTGGGCCAAGACCTGGAGCCACTCTGGCCGCGTGGCCGTCACTCGACGGGATCGGTACTCGATGAGGGCGAGCACGGAGGCCTCCGGCCGACGGTCCGCCACTCGCTCGATGAGATCGTAGATACGCTCGACATTGCCCAGAATCTGGGATCTGTCCGTCTGCAGCAGCTTTTCGATGCAGTCGATGTTCTCGTGGAAATTGATCTGCAGATGATGCAGGCGATCCTTGTTTATGTTCGTCGCCTCGTAGTACTCGATGTTGCTAACGATGGAGGACATTATGTCGCAGATGCGGTCCCAAATGATCTCCGAAAGCTGCCGCTTGTTGATCACCATGCGAACGCTGAGGATCACCTCGAACGTAACGATCACCTGACGACTGTCCAGTGCCTAGGATCATAAAACTTTGTATTCTCATGGTTCAAGGTTCAATCGATGATTGCATGCATACCCGCAGGAAGGCTGTCAGCACATTCGTTGCATAGGTCATGGGTGAAACCTGGAAAATAATGTTGGATCCAAAGATGTTCATGTTCAGGTGGAACACAGCGCCACGCAAGAGGTGCGCGTCATCGTAGAGAGCCGGGTCATTGAGGATGCTGCACATCATCTTCATGGAATGGTAGCCCAGCTGGGTGCCCAACAGATTCTTCATTATCTGAAAATGGGGGGAAAGTTTAAATGTTTAAATGTCTTAGTTAGTTTAAAGAGATCTACTAAGAATTTTGGAGATTTACTAACACGGTCTATTCAAGTCATCTAATCACTATATTCACGTGTTTGGTTGTGTTTTAATAAAAAAATGACCTTACTCTAAAGTTCCTCACAAAGATCCGGATTGGCTATTTGGTGAAACGTGCATGTACGTTGATAAATGCATAAAGTCACGTCTCAGATTTATTTCAAGTCTATGCCTAACTTGGCATACAGATAATAACATTTTAAACTTATATTTCTATAATTTAAACTAAACTTAGTTCCAAGTAAACTAAATTAAAATTGGCAACTTAAGAAGGGTAAAATCTTCGATCTAATCGAACAAACGGTAAAGAATATTAGATACCATAGGACATAAAAACCCATATACTAAACAATTAATCAAGTTGATACTGGGATTTCCCCCCCACAAATTACTTGGTTAGCATGTTTTTAGAAGCTCTATTTTAGTTTCTTAGAAATTTCAATCAGTTCACAAGCACATTTGGAAGGTGTCAAAATTCAGAAGTCCCCATGAAATGAAGAGACAAATCGTTAAGGAGTTCATAACCGTGAAGAAGGTGCGCCACCTGCCGCCGGAGCCACCGCCACCGCCGCCGCCGCCAAAGCGGCACGTACTCGCCGTTGGCTCGTGCACGCTGGACATGATCACCATCGTGGACATGCCACTCACCCCTGGCCAGGTGCAGCGCACCAAGGAGGGTAGCTGGCGACGTGGCGGTCCCGCCGCCAACATCTGCACCGTGTGGCGTCGCCTGGGCATGGAGTGCGAGTTCCTGGGCGTCTTGAGCAAGGTGCGGGCATTCGAGAGCCTCCTGTCCGGATTCCAGTCGCAGGGCATCGACATCTCGCACTGCCCACTGACGAATCACCGTCCTGCCCACCGCAGCATCATTGTCCAGCGGAACGAGGACGCACGCATCATCCTGGAGTTCTCCAGCGCCGACCAGGAGCTAACCTACCAGCAGTTCGTGGGCGCCGTCGACTATCAGAAGTACTCGTGGATGCACTTCGAGGGTCGCAATCCCGTCGAGATGCAGCGCATGATCCTCAAGGTGCGCGACTTCAACGAGCGTTGCCCCGAATCGCGGATCATGCTCTCCGTGGACCTGGACAACCTGCGGCCGGCCACCATGCTGATGGCCAGTCTGGTGGACTATGTCTTTGCCCGCAAGACGATGATGCGCACGTACGCTTTCATGAACGGACGCGAGGTCGTTTGGGCGCTCAGGGATGAAATGCGTTCGGCGCGGGCCCAGTGGGAGAAGTCGCAGCCCCGGAAGATGCCCTACCTGCCGCCCGATCCGCCGGCCGACGAGAAGTGTCGTGGTGCGCCCCTGGATACACCCATTGTCATATACAACAACTACATGCTGGGCGCCAGTTGCCTAATGGCCGACGACACCTATTTCAAGGTGGGCTCCCATATCCCAGATAAAATCGTGGACGTCAACTCCGTGAATGACACATTCTCCGCTGCCGTGATCTATGCCCTGCACAAGGTCAAGATGCGATTGCGGGATGCCCTCGAGTACGGCACCCGGGCATCGGCGCTCAAACTGACCGCGAACGGATTCGATGTGATGCGCTGCATGCCCAAGGATCTCATCGGTTGTTATTATGCTTAGAACAATCATGTGACATCACCACATAAATGAATTTGTTTCTACACTAAAAAGTTCGTATTAATCGTATTATTTTTGAAGGGGTTCAGGGTCATAAACCATTGGCGAACCACAAGTGGAAAACTTCGGAGTAAGGTCAGCTGAAGGAAACTGGGTCAGCGCCCTTAATAAGATACCATCCGTATCTTAAAGACCTTGAAATAGCATTTTCTCCCTAACAAGAATTCACTGACTCAATGATCACTTATTATTTGGGTTCTAGGGCTAATCATCGTCATCATCAGCCGAAACATGTTGCGAGATAAGAGGCGCTGAAGTCAGCAGAGCCACCGATAATTGGTGGAAATATCGAGCCAGATAAAGCATTGAGCAGAATACTCATTAGTATTAATAAACAAATGTCGGAGCAATCTCCGCCAGCGATTGCCAAATGAGAAAACGATCTGATGGATCCCTCGCAAAGGCGAGGACATAAAAGTCGAAGTCACTTCCAATCAACACCGCATTCGACGGATTCACTTAATAAACGCACATCGAACGGCAATGGAGAGTGAGTAGGGGAACAGAACAAACAGATGGCTTCAGTTTAATCAAAAGACTTCCGGGTGTTTCCAGGTCGCCTACTGGCTTTTTCACTGCTCTTAAGCACCGCCGCATGGGTAACAGCGCATGCAGATATAGCCTCCATCTGCAGGAATTCCGATGCCTGGCGAACGCTGCCCGATGGGAACCACTGCCAAAGGTTCTATGTCTGCACTGGCGACGAGGAGCTGCCCTTCCAGGAGTTCAACTGTCCGGCGGAGTATCATTTCAGCAAGAAGCTGAGTATATGTGTGCCCGGAGCCTGCTCTAATGGTTCCTTATTTTGCGGAACAACGAACAGTGTGGAGCGGATAGCAAACGATTGCTTGCGATACAGACATTGCCTGCAGGGAGGAGCCTACACCGTGGCCAAGTGTTCGGCCGGAAACTACTTTGATCCCGGTCGCAAGGCCTGCCTGCCCGTGGCCATAACAGCTGGCCATCAGTGCAGCTGTGTGCTGCCGGATAATGCCACACTGGCCAATCCGAGCGATTGCGAGACCTATTTCCGCTGCCATTCGGGACATGCTGAGCTGGTGCAGTGCCCATCGGGGGATTACTTCGATGAGCGAGTGGGCAGCTGCCTTCCGGATCACACGGGCATCTGCCTGGAGAAGCCCACAATGCCACCGACGCTGACGGTTCAGGCCCTCGCCATGAACGAGTGCATCCGGACGGGCAGTCGATTGGCTCCGCACAGCCGTGATTGCCAGCGATATTTCGTGTGTGCCAGGAAACGGGTGCTGGAGATGCGCTGTCCCCGGGGTCAGTACTTCGATGCAGTGCAGCGGTACTGCAGTCTGGATCTGAGGAACCAATGCCAGGTACAGGAGGAGAAAAAGGACCAAGAGCCGGAGAAACTGGAGCAGCAGCTGGAGAAACTGGAGCAGCAGCCGGAAAAAGAGGTTGTGGCAACGCAAGTGACAAATACGGTCAAAAAAGAGGTGCAGAAGCAGGTTCTGATCGAGAAGGAAAAGATGGAGAAGGAACCCCAAGAAAGTTATGAAGTGAATGCCAAACAGCCACTGGAGGCAGTTGGCAACTACGACAAATTCTCGTCCAAGTTCATTTCATTTTAAACTGTTCATATTAAGCGACTAATCAATGAAATAAAACCATATCTAACCTCTACCATTTATGGAGTAAGCTAGATAGATACATTTTTTACCAAAATCTATTTGGCTTACAATATATCCTGAAATTTAATTCAGGAATAAATATTCTTCGAGCATACAAAATGATCTATTGGAATTTTACTCTGATTGGAGTCACATTTACATTTAAGCGACCAATTTAATACATTGTTTTTAAATAATAGTCTAACCAATAAGTAAATCACATCAATAACAGTCAATGTGGGTAACATTGGCAGATTCTTTTAACCAATATATCTTTATAATTATATGCTTTATACCATATCAAAAGTATGACTTCAAAACTCACCTTGAATGAGGACGGGCAATAGGGGGCATAATTAACAGTCCGGCACAGGGTGGTGATGCACTGCGGCAGCGGCTCGCTGGGGAAGATGGTGTACCCGATGACCATCTCGAGAATTGTCAGGCACTGCAGTCCGATTTCGTTGACGGTGACGCTGCAGCTCAGGTCGCAGGCGTTCCTGGGTAAAGAGTAAACGAGGCTTAGACAACATTCATGTGTGCTGGAGATAGCGTCACCCACTGCACGATGCCGACCAAGATGTCCTTGTCCAGATGGGCGGCATTGAACTTGATCAGGTTGACCAGCATGTCAAGATAGGGGCTGAGCAGATTGGCCTCCGTGATAGCTGGGATCCAGAGCAGCATGAACTTGCCAATCTGTAAGAGCAGCGCAGAATGGCGATGCAGAAGTTGGCCCAGCTTTGATCAATGGAGGACTTACTTTCTCCTCGAAGTTGGTGATGTCCTTCCCGTTGTCGGTGAGTGTGTCGAGCAGCTCGAGCAGGTGGCGCAGATCCTCGCGTGCCTCGTGGTTCTGGATGACCAGGAAGAACTTCTCCCGCATGATGGTCAGGTTCTTGTACTGTGTGTGAATGAGCCGCTTATAGAAGCTCAGGGCGATCTGGCGCGTTTCGGCCGGCTTGTTGGGCACGATGAGATCGCTGGTGAGATTGAACAGAATGGTGATGGCGGTCTGCAATGGAGGCGCTATAAGTAAGGCAACATTCACATCGAACCAAAACCGACTGAACGCACCTCGTCCAGATTGAAGTTGTGCAGCTGCATGTCGCCCAGCTCCTTCAGCATCCTGCAGCGCTGGGCCACCGGCTGCTCCGGTCGCAATTCCCTCTCGAACTCCGGCCGCAAGGTCCGCTCGCCCACGTAACCTGTGAATCGTGAATGCGCCACTTGAAATCTCTTGACCAGGAGGGTCAAGCTCCCCAGATGATTTTTTGTTACCTGCCGGCAGCGATTTGAGGAAGAGCTTGAACTTGGACTTGTCCTTGGAGCTCATGGTGGTGGGTCCTTGCAAGGGGCGGTGGTCGGTGGAGCAGTGGCGGTGAGAGTGCAGGTGCAACCAGTAATTCCTAGCCTAGGTCCTAATAACAATTTATACACAGCACAGAACAGAGGAAATCAGAGCAAAACAGCTGGCCCTAGAGGTGGCCCACTAGCCAGCGATGGCACGTGCCGTGGTATCGATGCCTCATGGCGCTGCTGTTATCGATACTATCAATATATCAAAAGCCCGCCAAATTTAAATAAAATGCAATTTTAATTCTAAATCAGAAGTGGGAATAAAATTGTAATTTCAATGAATGTAGTCTATACTTCGGAGTATATTTTTATTTCATTGAGTAATTCAAAAGTCTCAGAAGTGGAAATCAACCAAATTTAAGAAAACATTATTTTTTAGAAAATAGCTTTGGAACTGCAAAGAGTGGGTTTTAAAATGCCAATATCAACAGGATTCTACTCTATTTAATTTCCCTTCTGGAATTAAGTCGTACTTTTGCGACAAGTATTAAGTTTAGAAGTACCAACGCATCAAAGTTTTTTGGGAAACTTTTATCTCTTCTGGTTAACTCATCCAGTTTTGCATCCTTTTCTTTGAGCTTGACTGCATCTAATTTATCTTGGGACTCTAACATAGCAATTTGCACGTTTTTCTCTATTAGATTGTGCTTTCTCATTCAGTTCAGTTAGTTTTTCTTCGGATAATTAATTAAATAAACATCTATTTTTTAATATAAGCCAATCCAGAATTGCAATTGGAAACAGATATATTTGGGTTATCCGTTAAGCTCTGAACGAGTTTGAAATCTCAGTGCCTAGTTTTTTTGAAAGCGATCGATCGGCTTGAATTCTCTAATTCCCCCTAATATAGCTTTCTTTCTCGATTTGCCTTTATTTTATTTTATTTTATTATTTCAGTATCCTAGCGCTAACAGTACTAGTTCTTTAATGCGCAAGTGACATTGATTACATTGTTTCTTTTATTATCTCTTTTAAAAATTTTATTATATTTTAATAAATTATGAACTTTATTATTCCTTGTTTATTTTCAATTTTAAAGAGCTGTTTAAACTCATTATTAAGTTGTGAATAAAATGTGATGTTAAGCTCTAACTTCAAAGCGAATAGTAATTTGAAAAGTGATCTAATTACTGGAAAATTAGGATAATCCAGGCAGAAAATTACAATGCTATAGGCCATTGTCGAAAACGCAGAGACAAATCCCCCAAATTGAGTGATATCAGGTGCGAAGCTCTTGTGGGTTTATCGCCGGCAGACACTTGGATCGTATCATCCTCCAAAGTGACGTCTAGTACACCATATATAAGTTAGAGCGTTCTCCGGGCTGTCTGCCTACGTCATAAATCAGCCAAGAAGCTGACTTGACTTGATGTGGCTGTATTTTGTTGTGCTTTGACGGTTCCTTCGTGTCGATTGGGCTCGTTGATTTATAACAAGTTGCTGCTGCTTCTTCTCCGGATTCGCTGTTTGGCTTTAATTGCTTCTGGCCGTTAGGTCTGTATTGATACAAGGTTAGTCAATTGCACTAGGCACATGGGCACAGGGTCTTGTATAGGAAGTGTTATTTGCGACTTTGGATCATTGGTTCCCTGCCAATGCAAATGTCAATTAATCGCTGTGTTCTTTTATGGCCCTGCCTCCCGGCTATTAAAAACTCTGCCCATTTGCCAATTAGCGTCCATAAACCAAAGTCTGAGCTCTTCTATTTATATCGAGGGCCTGATTTTATCCCGGTCCGCAAGGCCCAATGACTGGCTAGTTAGAACGGCGATCGCGATTTCCACGCATGACAGGTGTAATAGCCGCCAATCTGTGTCTGGAGACTATTTTTATCGGCCCAACGAAAGTGAACATCACATTTATAGCCTCGCAGTCGCGGCTTCAACCGGTATGTGTTTGAGTCTGAGTCCGAGTCTGAGTCTGAGTCTGAGTATGAGTCTCTGACAGCCCATATATATTTTGTACTTTTGTTCTGTTTCGCCAGTCTCGCATATGCGATTATTGTGGCTTTGTTATACCCTTGCAGAGGGTATTATAATTTCAGTCAGAAGTTTGCAACGCAGTGAAGGAGACATCTCCGACCCTATAAAGTATATATATTCTTGATCAGCATCACTAGGCGAGTCGATCTAGCCATGTCCGTCTGTCCGTCCGTCTGTCCGTCTGTCCGTCCGTTTATATGCAAACTAGTCTCTCAGTTTTAAAGCTATCTGCATGAAACTTTCCCAAAAGTTGTCTTTCTATTGCAGGTAGTATATAAGTCGGAACGAGCCGGATCGGACGACTATAGCATATAGCTCCCATAGGAACAATCGGAAAAATAAAGGAAAAAAAATTATAACTTTGCTGTTTTTTAATTTTATGTTTAGTTCTTCGACATTTAGTAATGGTTAAATATTTCCGATTTACGGTTTAAATTTCATCAAAATCGGACGACTATAGCATATAGCTCCCATAGGAACAATCGGAAAAATAAATGAAAACAAGAAAGAAAGCAAACTTCGGCAAGCCGAAGTTCATATACCCTTGCAGCTATTGCAAGAATTAAACATTTTTGAAAACATTAAAATTATGATTTACTTTCGTATATGTTTAAAAACATTGAAGCTATGATGATTTGCAGCTCAATTATTTGATAGTTATTTTATATATTTTTATTATTTTTAAGGGAGCTATATGATATAGACGACCGATTTTGATAAAATTTAAACCATAATTCTGAAATATTTAACCATTGCTATATGTCGAAGAACTAAACATAAAATTAAAAAACAGAAAAGTTATAATTTTTTTCATTTATTTTTCCGATTGTTCCTATGAGAGCTATATGATATAGTCGTCCGACTTTGATGAAATTTAAACCGTAAATCGGAAATATTTAACCATTACTAAATGTCGAAGAACAAAACAAAAAAAAAAAAAGAAAAAGTTATAATTTTTTTCATTTATTTTTCCGATTGTTCCTATGGGAGCTATATGCTATAGTCGTCCGATTTTGATGAAATTTAAACCGTAAATCGGAAATATTTAACCATTACTAAATGTCGAAGAACTAAACAAAAAATTAAAAAACAGCAAAGTTATAATTTTTTTCATTTATTTTTCCGATTGTTCCTATGGGAGCTATATGCTATAGTCGTCCGATCCGGCTCGTTCCGACTTATATACTACCTGCAATAGAAAGACAACTTTTGGGAAAGTTTCATGCAGATAGCTTTAAAACTGAGAGACTAGTTTGCATATAAACGGACGGACAGACGGACAGACGGACAGACGGACAGACGGACAGACGGACAGACGGACGGACAGACGGACATGGCTAGATCGACTCGCCTAGTGATGCTGATCAAGAATATATATACTTTATAGGGTCGGAGATGTCTCCTTCACTGCGTTGCAAACTTCTGACTGAAATTATAATACCCTCTGCAAGGGTATAAAAAATTATAACTTTTCTGTTTTTTAATGTTTTGTTTACTTCTTCGACATTTAGTAATGGTTAAATATTTCCGATTTACGGTTTAAATTTTATCAAAATCGGACGACTATAGCATATAACTCCCATAGGAACAATCGGAGAAATAAATGAAAAATAATTATAACTTTTCTGTTTTTTAATTTTTTGTTTAGTTCTTCGACATATGGCAATGTTTAATTATTTCAGAATTATGGTTTAAATTTTATCAAAATCGGACGTCTATATCATATAGCTCCCATAGAACTAATAAAAATATATAAAATAACTATCTAATAATTGAGCTGCAAATCATCATAGCTTCACTGTTTTTCAGTATATACTGAAGTAAATCATAATTTAAATGTTTTCAAAAGTATTTAATTCATGCAATAGCTGCAAGGGTATATGAACTTCGGCTTGCCGAAGTTTGCTTTCTTTCTTGTTTTTAGTTGTATTCCGATTTATTCTATGCGTAGTCGTCGACCGCTGCCCGCTGGGACTCCACTCCACGTATAAAATCAGCATAATCGGAAATTCTACCCAACAGTTGGTTCTAAGCCATCGACGGAGCCGGTCGCTCAATGCGCTTTCGGTCTGGAATGAAATAGTTGATCGGTGCGCAATTTTCTACGCCCTTCGACCTCAAGTAATTGTGCAGTTCATGTGTGAAAATAGCAAATTTGCAAGATTTACCCACTGAAAGTGAAGTGATATAATATCATACTCCGTTCTTCGCATCTACATAAGTATACATAAGAAGGTATGATTTCGCGTTGTTCTATTTATCCGTGTTCGCTTCCTAAGTCTTTTGTTTCGTGCGGCGCTGAAAAAAAAAGCAAATTCGCTTGGCTGAATGAAATCGAAATTTAAATCAATCTTTATCACAACTGGATTTGGCACGCTCTCTAGATGTCTTATATGTTTAGCGCCGCTTCGGTTTCCCTCTTCCTCGAAAACTTCCGCATGCAGTCCAGTATAATTTGGATAGAGCTAACCATTTTCGGCAACTTTGTGAACTGAACAATTTTTTGCCATTTTAATGAACGACTTAAGAGCTGTATGCATAAGATATGGTGTTGATTTAAATCTGAACAAGCTGTAGTAATAAATAATGAAACAAGTGGAATAACTTTCAAAAGCAATTAAACCAAGTTGGTCTCTTCTTATTTTGTTAATAATTGTGTTAAATAGGAATAGATTTTATCATTTTAATATCAGCAATAAATTAAATAAATTAATCTGTCTAGCGACGATTTGTAAGCCTAAAGTAATTTAGCAAAAAACTTGATGTGTATATATAATTTCAGAGTTTAGCAAGGAATTAATTGTTCATAAAATCAATTCCATTATAATTCCAAAAATTTAGTTTCAACGCAATGCGGAGGTATTTCATCAAAACACAATTCTCACCTCTCCAAATTGATTAGTCATTTGGCTCCGACAGCGATAAATTAGCATAATATGGTCAATATTATTTAATGCTAAAATGTTAAAATTAGTCGTCGCCATGCCGACGAAGCCAAAACAAAAGCCAAAAACAGCCAAAGGTGAATAAACTGAAGAGGCCTGAGCTCGGCTTCTGTGTAAGCTGTCTTGGCCAAGCTCTTGGGCTACTGAAACTGGTTCAAAGTCGAGGACGTCATCAACGAAACCGAAAGTGTGGACAGGGCGGGCCCTCAGACCTGGTTAAGACTTTACATGGCTCTCATTACCTTATCTCTCGCCTCAGCCGCTGTTCGAGATGTCATCGAATCGCCTGATTATCTTTGGCCTGCTCTTCCTGGTCACTTTCGGCCACGTGACGTCACAGCGGACGTCACTGGATGTGGCTCTGAAGAACGTCTACCGACCACTGCGACTCCTGGGCCTGGCCTTCACCGGTAGATCTGGCGACGATCCACAAAACGTGCAGCGCGTGCAAATCGCAGGGGTAAGTCCAGCGGATAATGCAATCATTGATCCGGATTCGATTGATCAGCATTTCCCTTCCACACGGAATCGAGGCCTCATTCGAAATGCGGCCAATGTACTGTTATTTCATTTTAATTGATCAGTTGGATGGGCCATTAATACGTGAAGTGACACATCGTTCATTAAAAGAAAGTATTATAAGTAAAGGGTTTATTTTTAAAATAATAAAAGCCATTTAACTATTTGATCTAAGTTATTTGAAACCATTTAAATCTTAAATTGATAAACAAAATTTTATTTTATTTATGTTTTTTTTTTGGAAGTTTTAGCGGTTTGGTTAAATATGCTTTCCTAATTTCTTATATGACCTATATAGTAATGTTTATTTTAACGATACTTTTATCATAGTCATTTTCGTTTTATATGTTTGTTAGATAAGCTAAAACATTTCAAATATACAAATTAAAAAAAAGTTAGGCTAACAAATTTCTTACGAAAACTGGTGAAAACAAATTTAAAAAAAATATTCAGTTTTTACATTTTAAATGTACAAATCTAACAAATTAAACAAAAGTGTTGTTTTTCATTTTTAATAAATGAAAAACTCTTTCTTTTGTAATTAAAATTTTTTATAACACCTTGTGAATAGTCCATAAATAAATACGGTTAATAGTAGTTAGTTATCTAATTAAAAGACCACCAATTTTTGAAAGTTACTTTTTGTCTTTGTATAATTATTGAGTAGAATTTAATGCTGTTTACAATTTTCAAGATCTAGAAAGAATATGCCTGTTCACAATGATAGGTGTTTTCTAACTCTGAATTCGTAAATACAGAAATTGAACTTTCTAAGATATTGTTCCATTATTAGCGTGTCATTAAGTCTCTTAATTGTTAATACCAACATTTTAATTTTGTTCTGTGCCAGAAAACGCAAAAGTCGAATCCCCGCACCCGAGCCCTGCTGGAGTTCTGCGATGCGGAGCACGGGCCGGGAAAACGCAGCCAGGAGCGGCCCACCAGTGTGCACCGCCTGCGACCTGGAGACATCGATGTGATTGGGGCGATGGGCGATTCGCTGACCGCCGGGAACGGGATCTTCGCCACGAATCTGCTCCACGTGACCGTGGAGAACAGGGGCGTCGTGTGGTCCATCGGGGGACAGTACGACTGGCGGAAGTACCTCACGCTGCCGAACATCCTCAAGGAGTTCAACCCCAACCTCTACGGATATGCCATTAAGGACGGCATCTCCACGGACCGCTCTTCCCGCTTCGACGTGGCCGAACTGGCCGCCATGTCGCGGGACATGCCGTACATGGCCAAAGTTCTGGTGCGGCGCATGCAGCGGGATCCCAAGGTGAACATGACCACCGACTGGAAGCTGATCACCCTCTTCATCGGCAACAACGACTTCTGCACGGACATCTGCTACTATCCGGAGCCGGAGAAGACGGTCGACTGGCACGAGCGGAACATGCTGAAGACCTACCGCTACCTGCGGGACCATGTGCCTCGCCTAATCCTCAACGTGGTGCCCGCACCCAACCTGCGCTTCCTCACCAACCTCTCCGGACTGCCGCCCATCTGCTACAGTACGCTCCGCTTCGAGTGCCCCTGCCTGGTGGGCAAGGGCAAGGGGCAGCTCGACTATCTGGAGGGCATCATGAAGCGCTGGATAGCCAAGGACTATGAGATTGCCAATAGGGACGAGTTCAACACAGAGGTAGGCGTTATTGATGAAATGATATGTTAGAACTATGTTAATAATCACTCCCTACAATGTTCTATCCACAGTGAGTGCAAGTGGATTGAAAATTGTCAAACTTGAACTTTGATTTATGCATATATTTAAATAATATTTTTTAATTTTTTTGGTATTAGTTTAACATAATGATTTGAATTTTATAGTTAAAATTACAGTTAGAAGACATAATTTATCTATTTAAGATTAATAATTTTTATAATATAAACGGTGTATTTATATACAATTTATACCTTCATTTACATTATTCAGAAACAATTATAAGAAATAATTTTCATAAGATTACAAGATATATACTGTTAAGACCTTAAAAAACCTACCAAGGAGTAGACTGTTATAAAACATCGGGACATTTACTAAGAAATCAGAATAAATTCAGATACCCTGTACAATCCACATACAGATTTATGTAGCCATCCAGATTTATCAGCCTCTTCTTTTCGTTGAGTTCCTACCATTTAAAAGTACTTTCTTCTGTTTCAGACTTTTACGATAAACGTGCAGCCGTTCTCGCAGTTCGAGGACTTTCCGCGCACGCGTTCCGGCCAGACGGACACTCGGTTCTTCTCGGAGGACTGCTTCCATCTCAGCCAGCGAGGACATGCCGCGGCGGCCAACTCCATATGGAACAACATGCTGGAGCTGCCCGGCGAGAAGAGTGGGTTCGCCACCCAGCTCTTTGAAACCTTCCGCTGTCCCAGTGAGCAGCGTCCTTTCATCGTCACCCGGGAGAACAGTCGTCCGGAGTTTGTGATCTGAGACAAAGTCGGGTCTGTTCTCCTCTGTGAATTACCCCCTGTGATATCGCGCCTAAGTCTTTCCAAGTTTGCTATTTGTTTATTTGTAGTTTTAATTAGCCACATGCTAAGTGTAAAGATTCGATGAGAATCAGAAAGTCAAATAAAATGAGATTCTTGAATTACGTGAGTGAATTTTGCATGGCGGGTTTTCATGTTTCTATCGTAACGGTGGGCACGTCAACTTTTTTGGCAGAGTTTTGGATGGCTGTTGACATCGATTACAAGGGATCCATAATAATGAGGCAACATCCCGCCTGAATAGTTATTAATATGCTCAGTTCAAAAAAAAATTCATAAAGTTTCCGTCTATAAACAACGATAAATCTACAATAAATTGGGCCAACTTTTATTTATAATACAAAAAAAAAAAAACAGAATAGAATAAATAATGAAAATTATTTGTTACTTGACGAAACAACTTGTGTTTTGAAATAATAATTGACTCAAAGAGTGTTTAACAAAGAAGTGTCTGAGATCAAAATAGCCTTATTACAAATGGGCTATAAATATACAAGTATTTTATACTGTTGTAAATTTGCCGCGGAAGTTACAAACTCATATCGCCGTATTTTCCTCAACTATACAAATAAAGTGTAAAAAATTTATTACCCATAAAGTGGCAGCTATAAGGTAGTCATGGATATTTAAAAGATCGTTTAACTCAAATATATTGAAAATATAGAAAGGTTTACAGCTAAACATTAATATTTAGAAAAAAAAACTGGCTCTGGTACACAGAAAAAAAAGTGTAAATTATTCATTAAATATTAGTTTAATCCCAAAATAATGGCAGCTCCCAAATAAAGAGATAAACCTAATGAGCATGTTGGAAACGAGACCGTAATAATAATGTTAATTATGAGTTGGCTGTTATTATAATCGCCTTAACAAATCGCTTCTTTTGTGCCTCAAACGGAGTAAATCACTCACCCGTTCGAGTAGAGTTAAAACAAAATTAATAACCCATTAAGTGCCGGCAATAAGGCAGTCATATTTTCTTTAGTACATCTCCCAGCTTGTTAAAAAGTCGCAAATCACCCCGTGATAAGCGATAAGAGCTGCCCCGGTGACACACGACAAACAATCCGTTGATGGGCGCGTCATAAAACCTGTTACAATTTATTTTTCCAGCCAGCGAGGCGCACGCATCAGCGGACATCAATAAAGCCGGACTATAATTGTAGTTTAATTCGGTGGCTGGGTATAAAAAACGAATTGCTCGCCTGAGTAGTACGTGTTTTCGAGCGACAACACAGCTCCGCCTCCAAAATCAACCGCTCAACGGTTTCGCTTGCCGGTGCTAAAATCTAGCAACAAACACTGCCAGTAAATAGCAAAAAAAAAAAAAAATAACAGCCAGGGGACAACATCAATTATCGCATTTATTTCGAGAGCTTATTGCAGCATTTCAAAACCGGCGCATTGTCATTGACTTTGAACTTGAGCCCCGAAACCCCCGCATATCGGTCAGCACATTTTTGGGTCTCCGTCTCCAATTTCTCGGCTTTACACATGCGTTTGTGCGAGGTTTGGTCGACGAGTTTCTCGTATTTTTTCCATTTAAAACACAAGGTTTGAAAACTCCCAAACTGGCTGCTGGTTTTTTGTTGTTTATCCTTTTTACACTTTGAAATCTAATTTTAACTAATTAGTTTCACTGGTTATCGTAAAATACAATAAATAATAAATTTATACATTATTTCTTTAAATAAGTATAATAAAGCTACCTGCCATAAAATGTAGGGTTTCATTTATTAAAAAAATAAAAGTTTTAAATTGCACATGGCAACTTTGTATCAATCTGAACAAACTGGTTAGCATGCAAATTGTATTAATATCGGACGAGTATATCATATAGCTCCCATGGGAAACTAGTATTCAGCAAATACCCTTCATAAAGTTAATATTAAACTAGTAATGGAAAGACAACAATTTAAAATAGCAATATGAATATTTTACATATTGATTCAATGTCCCGTAAACTAAGCAAAACCTGCTAGCATATTTAAATTTGCGTTGCTTCAATTGATTCTCCTCTCGTAAAGATCTAATTTCAATGAAATCAATTAAATGTGGTACTGGTGCCTCATTTTAATGAGTGCTCATGCAAATTGAGCTTTGCTCTGTGGGATGGGTATTGTGCAGTGGAACCCGGACACTGTTTACCAGTCAAGTGCCAATCAACAAATAATGATTAGATTAAGTCACAGGCTGCAAATATCGAAGGTATCAAAGTATTATTACCTGTTTTGCCTACGACTTTTTTGTGTATTATTTAAACTTGCTTGCTTTGCCGCCAACTAAAAAACGTGATCTAATAGCCGAGACGCAATAAAGCAAGGACACACACCGATAAGTTTTCCAGCTATGTCAAGAGTATCGATTGTTTTTAAAATATCAATTGCTTAAATATGATCTCCGATTTTTAGTACACTTATTTCAAATTTGGCGGTAAAGTTTGACAAAGGGTAAATTGGAATTTTGACGAAGTTGTTTTGCTTTGCTTTACGGATTGTAACTTGTAACTTTATTATTTTTTTCAAAATCGCTATTGTACATAACTTTGAATGTTTTTTGTTTGATTTATATTTTTGTATGTATTAGCAGTAAGTATTAGGGGTGGAAAAAACATATATTTTAAATAATATAATAATATTGTTTACAAACAATGAACATGTGATAGCAGTTTTATTCATAAGGTCTTTGGCATAGCACAGTTTAAAAAAAGTGGTTTCAGGTATTTTGGTAATGAAACGAATGGCCGTAACAGGTGAACAAGAAAACAGTTGACAAAGAGTTCTTGAATTTTTCTGCTTACCTCGCACTGTGAATGTTATAAATTGCGATGCACCTTAACCCGAGCTGCGCAATTGCGAAAATTTCAAGCCATGAGAGACGACAATCAACGATCCAAACTCCAAGCAGTGGCAATAGTTTTCTTGTTGGGTAAGGTTTTGTTTTCCTCGAAAAAATCACGGTAAAAACGGTTCAAAATATCTTGTAAACCAAAAAATTAATGAGGACAGAAGAGGAGGTTGCAGTTTCTTTTTTTAAACTAATTAATTAATTTTTTTCTTACAGTTTTACAGCTCTGCCTAGCCCTGCCCTATGGTTCTTCTTCGGGTAATGACATAGACATCGATGGGAACTACCAAAACTCAGCAGGCGGACGACCAGTGGATTATCACACAGTTGTGGGCCACTTCAAGGACTTTTTCATGTACCTGCCCGTCATGATGACCACGCTGAAGGAGACCATGTCCGGATTCCCCAAATTCGCCGAGGGAGTACGCATCCTGACGTCCGGCAAAGGACGAGTCGATGGCGAGGACTGCAAGTGCAGCTCGAATGGACTGACAAGCGGTGAACTTTCGGACATTAACACTAGTAGTCGATTCGGTTGACCCGAATTGGGAGCAGAGTCACCACCACTGTAGATACTGTACATATGCCACACCACTAATAAACTGGAAATCTTTAAAAACAATTATTAAAAATTTCATTTTTTTTTCAGCTGAAGTAATGCTTACAAACAACTTAAGAGCCACTCAGCAGATAGTGAAGTTATCAAATATCTCGCATGAGCAGGAAATAGGCTTCACATTTATATTGGAATTTGAATCCAATATAAGCTTAAAGTACTAGAGTAAACAAAGTTCAGATTCACACAGGTCTTGCAAACAAATTATTTTTTTATATTTTAATGTATGCTTTTAATATGCTTTTAAAAAATCCAAGGAAAATGATTTCTTAAGTTTCTTAATTTCTAACACAAAATGCTTTAGGACTTAATCGGCTTTCAGGTAAAATCATTTCAATATAATATGTAGTTAAGCCGAAAATAAAAGAACATGCAACAATTATTAATTCATAGTCATTAAGCGAAACTATCGACAATTTGCAGCCAGCACAAAAATGATTTATTTGTTTGCCAATGACTTTGTGATATACTTACCCAATAAGAAAATCAATTCGGGGCACTGGATTGGGGACACTTCTGTGAATGTCTTCCATGCCCTTGAAATGAGAAAATTGGTTAGACAATGACTATGCAAGACATTCGTAATCCACTTTGGCTGGACTTGAGCATACTACTTGGACATACTACTACACTTTTGTATATTTTCTGGTATTTTCTTAAGCCATTAGCCCGACTTATTAGCCAGACCCCTGGGAATACTCACAACCTGCATGGCTTTGGACAGAATGGAGCCTAATCAAGTGCTCGAATCTGCATGTGGGGGGCTGGTGTGGGTGGTTGGGGTGCTGTTTCCCATCGAAAACCCCCCAACCCATGACCCACTGTCATGTTTGCACTTGTCATTATTGTTAATTGTATTTGCGGGGCGACCGAGCATGCATGGACTATATATTTACATAGCAGTCCGAATGGCCGAGGCGGTACAGGTGTAATTCAAAGTTGGCACTTTCCGTTTCAGTGGCTTACGCGGCGTTGAAGGGAACGCAACAGCATGACCAGGAAGCGCCGGAAGCGCAACCACATCTGAAGAAGCAACCGGAAAGGGATTACTTAACATATAGCACTCATCCGCCCCGATGGTCACTGGCATTGAGCTGCTGGTGGCCGCCGCCCTTTGCGCCGCCTGTCCAGCGCTGAACGAGTCGCTGCCCGCGAATCTCATCCTGTTGGGCGAGGATGGCAGCCCAACCAACCCCCAGCTGCCCCTCGAGGCAGGACTGGACGAGGACGCATCCGTGGAGACGCTGGAGACCCTCATCGCCAAGAAGCTGAAGCTCCGCGAGATGCGCGAGTGGATCGGGGGCAAGCACCTGCGCATCGCCACTTTGGAGGACTTCCCGCTCAGCTACACGGAGCTCCTCGAGAACGGCACCCGCATCGGCCACGGCGTCTCCTTCCAGATCATCGACTTCCTCAAGAAGAAGTTCAACTTCACCTACGAGGTCTTCGTCCCCCAGGAGAACATCATCGGCTCGCCCAAGGACTTCGATCGCAGCCTCATCGAGATGGTCAACAGCAGTGTGAGTAGACGGGCGGGGATGGAATACTGATTAATTTTTAATGCTGCCTACTAAGTTGGATTAGTCAATGGTTATAAATCGATTAAGGGATCATTTCACATGGATATGTATATAAAATAGGTATATAGTTTGAATATATACAAATATATGTATACAGTTTAAGATAAGTTATCCTTGTAGGCAATTAAGCATACATTTTAAGTGTTCGACCCATACAAATACAGCCAACAATTTTCCATGAAACTAGGGTGCTTCGAAGTAATGGTACCATAGAAATTGCCTTCTTAATAATTTGGGAGTAATATAAAGTTTTTTGTTTATAATTTTATATAATTTTGAATTTAACCCTTGACTGCAAATTGGTTTGAGTTATAGTTTTGATTTTTATTAATTGGATTATTTTTTAAAACAAAAATAATTTTTTTTTTAAAAATTAAAGCCCAGAAGGAAACTTTAAAAAAAAATTTTATTTTCATTTTTTTTTAATTTGAGATTTGTGCTTTATCGAAATACATAAAATGTTTTTTTTTTACTTATTTATCAAAACTTTTTGGGAACTTTTTGCTATAATAACTTAAAAAACATTTGAATACCCCGCAGGTTGTGGACTTGGCTGCGGCCTTCATACCCTCACTTTCCGACCAGCGGAGCTTCGTTTACTACTCGACGACGACGCTGGACGAGGGCGAGTGGATCATGGTGATGCAGCGGCCAAGGGAGTCGGCCAGCGGGTCCGGTCTACTGGCGCCGTTCGAATTCTGGGTGTGGATCCTGATCCTCGTCTCGCTGCTGGCGGTGGGGCCGATCATCTACGTACTGATCATCCTGCGCAACCGGCTGACGGGCGACGGCCAGCAGACGCCCTACTCCCTGGGCCACTGCGCCTGGTTTGTGTACGGGGCGCTGATGAAGCAGGGCAGCACCCTGTCGCCCATCGCAGGTGGGTGCAATTAGGCCAAAGTGCAAGCGGGTGGCCCCAGATAGCCATCGGCAGGCGCTAATGGGCCCCTTTTGAACGCGTGTACAGGCGCTTTGTCGACTAATTAGACCCATTGTCATTGCAAACCCATTGCCATTACAACCCATTACAAACCATTACAGACTCGACCCGGCTGCTCTTCGCCACCTGGTGGATTTTCATCACGATACTGACGTCCTTCTACACGGCCAACCTGACCGCCTTCCTGACCCTATCCAAGTTCACGCTGCCCTACAACACGGTGGACGACATCCTGTCCAAGAACAAGCACTTCGTGTCCATGCGGGGCGGCGGTGTCGAGTACGCCATTCGGACGGTGAGCGGGATTCCCTGGGTGGGAAAACAAATTGGTCAGAACAGATGCAGAACAGATAAGAGAAAATTACACTTTCAATTTAATTTAATACAGCATTGTTTTTAATTCGACAAAACTCTACAGTCCCTCTTCAGGGAAAAAAAGAGTCTAATAACTACAATTTGACATAGTTTGTCAATGGAGTATGTAGAAATTATCAAAATTATTATTATTATTTTACAAAATATTTAATAGTCGAAAGCGATTTTATCAAGAATTAATTTATTCAAGTATAAAGTTTGTAAATTGAAGCAAATCCGTAAAATTAAAGATACTTTTTATTAATACATACAAATGGCACAGTTTGTCCATATGTGAAAAAAACAAAGGACTCTTTAAGGCTAATTATTATAATTATTATTATTTCTTAACTTAACTGCTAGTCACGTTGTGTTAGGACATGGAGTTGCTATATTTTTATTCTACGTTACAATTTCTTTTCATTTAAAACATTAATATTAGTTTAAATTAATTTAGATAGAGTTTGTAAAATTAATGAGGCACTTAATAATAATAATTTAGTTCGTTTTTTGCCCATTTTTGCCCAGGGATTTGCCAATCAAAAAAGTTTAATAGCAACTTTTGAAATATTTATTATTTACTATAAACCAAATACCTATATTCTTAATTATAATTGGTCCAGAAAATATTTTTTTTAAAATGTCAGATATTAAAAATGAAATTTATATTCCAAAGTGCAGATAAATGGTTGTTTTTTGTTTAACCTTTTTATAAAAATCACTTACTACAGTATAAATACTAAAAAGTAAGGAATTAACACGGTTTTTAATTTTCTTGAAAACTAAAGTAATAGCAAAGTGTTTTTAGTGGAATTTATTTTATTGGTTAGTAAGCTTTTTGATAACTTAAAACAAAAGTTGTTCTATATGGGTATAGATTGCTTTATGCTTTTTATAGACTTGGATTAACCATCTAATTAATCAAATATTACGAAACTGGATGTACTCATCTTTAAATTTTATTTATCTACACATAACTTTTACATTTTAAAAATCTAATGATAAGAGAATATGGTTATGCTTACCCTGCCACTTTTTGCCATTTCAGACCAACGAATCCCTGTCCATGCTGAACCGGATGATCCAGAACAACTACGCCGTGTTCTCGGACGAGACCAACGACACCTACAACCTGCAGAACTACGTGGAGCGGAATGGCTATGTGTTCGTGCGGGATCGGCCGGCGATCAACATAATGCTGTACCAGGACTACCTGTACCGCAAGTCCATCAGCTTCAACGACGAGAAGGTCCACTGTCCGTTCGCCATGGCCAAGGAGCCGTTCCTGAAGAAGAAGCGCACCTTTGCCTACCCGATTGGCTCCAATCTCAGCCAGCTCTTCGATCCGGAGTGAGTGGGTGAGCGGATGGGTAGCTTCACATGGATAATCGCGTTTCGCACTTTGCAGACTCCTCAACCTGGTCGAGTCGGGCATCGTGAAGCACCTGTCCAACAGGGACCTGCCCAGTGCGGAGATCTGTCCGCAGGATCTTGGCGGCACGGAGCGGCAGCTGCGGAACGGCGACCTGATGATGACCTACTACATCATGCTGGCCGGCTTTGCCACCGCTTTGGCCGTCTTCAGCACGGAGCTGGTGTTCCGCTACGTCAACAGTCGCCAGGAGGCGAACAAGTGGGCGCGCCACGGGATCGGACGCACGCCCAATGGCCAGTCGGTGGCTCCATCCCGCTGGCTCCGCGCCTGGCGGCGACCGGAGAGCGGACACGGCCAGCTCCTGGGTGCCTCCACCCACGCCCAGAACGTCACACCACCGCCGCCGTACCAAAGTATTTTCCAGGGCGGCGGCCAAGGGGATCCACTGAACCGCTGGCGACGTCCCCTCGGAAATGGAAACGGAAACGCCATCGGCAATGGAATCCTTTTGGGCGGCAATTCGGAGAACGGGGTGCGGCGATTGATCAACGGACGCGACTACCTGGTATTCCGGAATCCCAACGGCCAGAGCCAGCTCATCCCCGTTCGATCGCCCTCGGCGGCCCTCTTTCAATACAGCTACACCGAGTAGAGATAGGATCGTAGATGGTAGGCAGTGATGGGAATGTACTTTGTGGATTAGAATACATGAACAGTTTATAACGAATATGTATTCTATATCAAAATAAGATTTGAT